TATGTATGTGCACCACTTGTGTGACTGGTGCCCAAGAAGGCCAGAAGAAGGTGCCATCCCCTGGAACTGGAGTTACAGAAACTGGAGTTATAGGTGGTTGTGGGTCACTATGTGGATGCTAGGAATTGAACCTGGACAGCAGTCAGTGCCATCTCTCTAGCCCTGAGGGTCTCATTCTTACTGGTCGCTGATATTTTGTTCTCCTTTTCACCAAAGGAAGCCTGATTTTCCATGCCTAGCTTGTGTTGTGATGTCTGGATCAGGGACTTCATCCCTCCTGTTCCTATAGTGGAAACCCTCAGAGGCCTTTGGTGGCTACCTATGGGCTGGTATAAACTCCTGACAAAGTCGCCCCCAGCGTCCTTATGCTGTGTGAAGATCCCTCCAGGTCAGGCCCCTTAGTTCTGCGTGGAGGTTTCCTGTACCTGCCCAAATCACTCCCTCTGCCTCTGTCTCTTGAGAGACTGGAACCTCAGATTGGGAGCCTGCAATTGCTTTGAGCTTGAACAGACATCTCAATCACACACACCCTCAGGGATGCCTCAGCCACCAAGCAGTACTGAGACACCAAATTTCCTCTGCTCCTCGTGGCTTGTCCTGCCAGCATCCACCCTAACGGACTATCAGGAGAGTGGGCGCAGTGATCTTCACTCCCCTTTCTCACACCCCACCCTGGATTTGCTCAATACCCTCTTCTACCACCGCCGCCCACAGGGCAGTTCTCCTACTCCCCCAGGATCCTTTCCCCATTTTCAGCTCAGCCTCATGACTGACGACACCTCAGTCACACTGTCACCCTCTGAAAACCCCCAGCCACCACGGCTGTAGTGCTGCTCTAACTTGCTTCTTGTGGTGGGGCTTGTCTGGGTCTCTGTGTTTCTAGTCTACTTCTGTTTGGGGGTGTCTGTTAGTCCTGGAACTCAAGTCTCTACATCCAGGGTGGGAATCTGCTCCCCAGGATCCTTGGTAATAAAAAAAGAGCCCCCTGTTGGGTCTGGGGGTGCATGTCAAGAAAATGACCACACAACCCAAAGCATTTCAGCAAGGTAAAAAGTCTTACGTCTGAAGCCGGGTGTTGGTGGCGCATGCCTTTAATCCCAGCACTCGGGAGGCAGAGACAGGCGGATCTCTGTGAATTCGAGGCCAGCCTGGTCTACAAAGCGAGTCCCAGGACAGCCTCCAAAGCTACAGAGAAACCCTGTCTCGAAAAAAAAAAAAAAAAAAGTCTTATGTCTGCACAGCCATATCAAACCTGCTGGGTTTTTATTCCTAAGGGGTCCTGTGCCTCACTCTGAGTGGTCAGACGTTGGCCTCAAATTCTTAGTGACCAGCAAGTTTAAGGTGACATACTGATGATACCCAGAATGCAATTCTTATCAGAGAGTGCAACTGTGAGCATATATTTGATTACAAGAAGTGTTGGCCCTGGAAGAATTTGAATTCCCACCAAGTGGCTTCTTTGAATTTTCTTTTAAAAGAAGCTTTGTGTTAGTTAGGCTTTTGATAGAAAAGACAGTACATTTTGTTTACACTTCCCACACTTAAGACATGCTTTTTTAAAAAAACAAAAACCTCAGTGTCTGTATGTCACACTTCCCTATGAGTGTCAGGTCTGGAAGGCCCTGGAGATTCCCGAAACAACATTGTGTATTGCCAATGATCTTGGCTGCACCCCTAAACTAGATAGTAAGACACATCGGGATTGCTGAAGACACAACTCCGTTTTCAGGACAGAGAAGTCCATCTGGAACTGACCTGAAAACTTGCTATTGGCTAGCTTTCACAGTGCTTTCCCCCGCTAGGGGGGTGGGTGCAGTGACCACTGCAGCAATAGTGACATGACTCTATGACTCTTACGGGAATAATCATAAGCTGCTGGTTGAATTTGAGACCTGTCTCACAGGAAGAGATTCATACCTGGTTCTGTAAACACGAAAGCCCACAGTTAGGGAGGTCAGAGCTTCTAGGAAAACTTTTAATTTTTTTTCTTCTTCTAAACGCACATGTTCTGAAACTGCCTTCTAAATGTTTGTTTATACCCATGGATGACTGCTGCACCCAACCTTGGCCAAGGAAGCTTCCTTTAGCAGTAAATGCTGTTGAGTATCCGTCAGGTCCTAAGTGAGACATTTGTATCCACCCCCACCCACATACCCCACCCCCACCCCCACCAAGGCGTGGAGAGGGGGTAGAAAGGATAGAAAAGCCAGAGGCTGGGGAGGAGCACTGGGAAATGTGTCTTCTGCACATGGCATGACTGTTGCCCTCATGACCTCACAGCAGCCACCAGCATTCCCCCATTGGTGGGGGAGGAGCTCACAAGGCCCCGCCCCTAGCTGAGAAGTCGATGACTGCTGGAGGGTTTGAGTCGATTTTCTCTGGGTGTGTGGGACCTCTGGCAGATTGCCCATGCTCCAGTGAATGGCCCCACACCCAGGGGCACGTGGACAGGACTGACTGGACTCAATGAGTCATTTTTAAAGACAGAGGACATGAGACTGGGACAATATACGGGGCCAGTGGCATTGGGTCTAAGATCTAACCCTAATGCACAGACTGACTTAGTGGAGCCTGTTCTGTATGGAGGGATACCTTGCTCAGCCTAGACACAGGGGTGTGGGGGTGGGGAGGTGCCTTGGTTCGGCCTCAATGAGATGATGGGACAGACTTAGTAGACTTCCTAGGGAAGGCCTTACTCTCTCCATGGAACAGATGGGATGTGGGGGGGAGTGGGGGGAGTGGAAGGAGAGGAGGTAGGGGGAACTGGGATTGGAATTAAAAAAATAAATGAATAAAAAATAAATGGAAAAAACACAGGATATGAGCATGGGAGGGAGACATGGGGTGGGCAGGGGAAAGGAAGTCAAGAGTGCGGTGGGTGTGGTCAAGTTACATTGTATACATGTATCAGATTGTCCAAGAATAATTTTTAAAGCAAAAAATAAAGTTTTACTGCAAGCCACTACCGAAGAGTCTCTGCATACATGCACTGTGTGACTATTGCAAACCACTCCATGTGTCAGGGGACACTGGTGTGGTTTATGCACAGGCAGCAAGACAGGTGAGCACCAGACTAGCTGATGGCCTTGTCCAGAGGGTGCATGGTCAGGAAGGGTCAAAGGGATAGATGGGGACAAGGAGAAACACTCCCACTGAGCACCTTGGTGCCAGGCACTTTCCTACAAACTGAACAGTGATGGACTCACTCCTTAGATTGACCTTACAGACTGGGCACATCTGTTACTGTTTACAGATAAGAAAACGTCTCATTTCTGCTTAAAAGACTTACTTCTAAACCAACCAGTTGGTGCTTAGATTGTGTTGCTTCTGGGGCAATGGCTGAATCCCTTAGCCTCTTGTAGAAGCCCACTTCTGTATTGGGACCCTCTCCTGCCTACCAACTGCTACTCTGCCAACTGCTCTATTGGGAAGCTACCCCATGGGCTGTGTCTTTCTGGGCTTTGCCAATCACCCACTGACTGGTCAGGCCAAAGGGAATATAAAGATAAGCCTTTTGTAGGTTACAAGGTAGGATTTTTGGTGTCAGGAACTTGCTCCAAGAATAACCCTGGGCCCTGGTGCTAGTCTTGTCTGGCTCTATCCCTTTTCTTCAATATGCACCTGGATTCCAGGGTCCCAATGTCTGGATCTGGGAGAAGTCATTAGCCTGCTCACCAAGCAGCTTCAACGCCTCTCCTTTCTTTCCAGGCCTTCAGCCTGGTTCTTGCTCTCCATCTTCTGCTTCAAAACTGAAAGCATGTAAATCATCACCCAAGACCCTTGTTTCCTTCCAAACCCACAAACCCGTGTTTGCCTTTCCTGTCTCCTCTTGTCGGCAGTGGTGTAAAGGCCAGTCTCTCCAGAGAGCTCTGGAGCACATCCCAGGCATCCTCAGGGACCCTGTCCATGGTACTACTCGCTCCGCCCCCCCCCCCGCCTCCACCCTTCTGCACCTCAGCGTGGCAGCAAGCTCTCCTGTGCTGCAGCCCCTACCCAGCCATATTGCACTCCGCAGTGCTCCACAGCAAGGCTCCTTGACAGAGATGGCTGTCTACACAAGCTGTCTCCACTTCCCTCCTCTGACCCACTTTTAACCCTCCCCAGTCAGCAAGGTCAGAGCCTGCCCATCTCTTCGCAGAGTGATATGCTTGCCTTACACAAACCATGAGATGACTAACTCACCGTTCAGGTTTTTGTTTGTTTTTCATTTTTCACTCACCTGACAGTTCAGAGCTCCAAATTCAGTTAGAGTAATTCCATTAATGGGGCTCATAGTGCATTTACTTTCCAAATATTTCTGGTTTTATTGTTTAAGGTCATAGGTCATACTCTAAACTACCATAATGTCCTTGGACTGAAAATTTCTAGATAGACAAGAATAGAAAAACCTGGCTCAATCGTGTTTAACTTACTATGCAATTTCAAGAAATGGTATGTGAGTCATACCGCAAGTGTGGAAAAAAAACCTGCATGCAACCGTTTAGCGCTGAATCCTCCGTGAGTCACATAAACTGGTCTCACAGTGTTTATTGAGTGTGTGAATGTATGATACATCGCTTAAAGGGAGAAACTGCAGAATTTCATGGACTTGATAACTATGGCTTAAACTAGAAAGATGTGCAGAAAAATGAGAACAAATGAACATTACGACGATGAGACAGGCTCATTTCCTTACTAACAGCTTTACAAGGCACAAAACGTGGAGTGGAAAGAGACTGAGGAAACAAGACTCTTTTGAGTCCTGACTCGGGCACTAGACTAAAATGACTAAATGGAGAAATAGATCGGCACAGGATCAGACAGAGTAAACGGGGAGGGTACGATGGCGAGCGCAGTCCCGGCTCCACAGCAAGTTGGCAGCGGGCGGGGCTGGTAAAGGGCTCCAGTCCCTGCCCAGCAAAGGAGGCCAAGAGCGCACCTGGGCAGTGACTGGGGCGGGGCCAGAGGAAGGACAGCTCCGCCCAAGCCCCGCCCAAGCCCCGCCCTCCCGCCCCCGGAGGAGCCGGAAGCCGGGGGAAGAGGGCCGCTGACGAGCGCGAGTCCAGGGCTGGGAAAGCCGGTCGCGGGCCCTTGCCGTCCGGCAGAGCCAGCCGCGAGAGCTCCGCGACAGTGCCGGGGCCATGGGGACTCCGCGCCGCCGGCCGCGGGTCGCTCCCGGGCCCGCGCTGGGACGGCTGCTTCTGCTGCTGAGCGTGCTGGCCCCGGGCCGCGCCTCCCCGCGCCTCTTGGACGTCCCAGCTCCGGTGTGCGCGCAGGAGGTGAGACTGAGACCCGGCGGAGTAGCGAGGATGCTGGGGCCGTCGGGGGTGGTGGAGAGGGCAGCGGAGGGTGGTGGAGGGGTTCCGGAGGGGCGGCGGTAGGAAGGGCGGTCCCGAGTGCAAAGAGCTGTCGAAGGTGCTGAGGGCCGTCGGGGATGCGAGCCTGCGGAGGGACTCAGAGGAGGCCCCGGTCGTGAGCGCGACATGGAGGCGCACTGGCAACGACTCCCTCCGGGAGTGGAGTCGCGGTGTGGTCGCGAAATGAGAGGGAGTTCTAGGGAAACTACGCGGGCGGCGGTGTCACGGGCAGCGCGAGGCGGGAGTGACAATTTCGCCGGGGCCTCAGAACTGGGCGACCGAGACACCAGAGGCAACTGTGGATGGACAGGGACCTGGAGAAGGGGCCTTGGCAGGAGCTGGACCGGTTTTGGATCGGCTCCCAACTCCATTCTGCCTGGGAAGTCATCCAGCTGTACCAGGCTCAGCTGCACCAGCCCGGCCCCGGGGGTCCCCTTAGGTTGGTAGTCTAGGCAAATCCGGTGCCCAGGGGAATCAAACAGGATGTGGCCTGGCCACCAGCGGAGGACTGACAGATACCGCCCATCCCATCTCTTCACCACCATGTGCGTCCTAGAACCGAGAATTCCAGAATTGACTTTTAACTCGTGGGATGGGCCGAGTTGGAAGGCTGCCAATTTGTGACTACTAAGAAGGACCCCCGCTGCGCTCGTAGGAAACTGACACACCCCTGTCGGCTGAACAGGGCTGTTAAACCGGATAGTTGTCGAAAAGAAAAACAGAAAACAAAAAACCTAACCGGTGAAAAACAGACTGCTTGTTCCACAAATAAACTTTTCTCCCTTTCTCCCCTCCCAGCCTTCTCGAAATTTCCCCCACTGGTTTTCCCAGCCCCTTCCCCTCCACTTCCACTGCTGACCCCAGAAACTGTTCAGTAGCTGAGTCAGAGGATGTGAAACAAAAGGATAGGTCTCCATATCTAATTTTGTAGATTTACCAAGAGGGTGGAGAGAGGGTGACTATTTTACAGGGGGAAAAATGTGTTTTTAAAAAGTCTCAGGGCTGTTGGGAAATGTCCTAGTGATCCCCATATTGGGCAAAGCATCTTTGACAAGAAAGAAGTGTCACACCATGGAGAATTGCTGTTTGTGGCTCGTCATTTGCCAAGGACCTTCCAAATACAAGTAAACTGAAACTAAAGAAATAACCCCTGGTGCTCCAGGGTCCAGGGTGGAGTTGTCTTGGATATAGACGCTGGTTTGCAAGGCAGCCTAGAGCACATGCTCTTTGTGCAAACCGTGAGGTTGCAGAATCCAGCTGGGCTGTTTCTCATTGAAAAGACATTTGGGAGGTTCTGTTCCAGAATGGGAGTCTCAGAAACTTTGGTTAAAGTATTCATTCCTTTTGGTGGACGGTGCCTAGGCCAATGTCCCTAGGTGAGGCAGAGTTAAGTGTCTGGCTGGAGGATGTGGGTGTCTGTGGAGCAGAAAAGGGAGATGGGGTGAGAACTGAGCTCAAGGGGTTGTGAGGCCTACAAAAGCGAATCTATGCTCTAGTCTGTCCCTACCAAAAACATTTTGGTTTTTTTGTTTTGTTTTGTTTTGTTTTGTTTTTTAGAGACAGGGTTTCTCTGTATTGTTGGAGGCTGTTGGTCCAGCCCAGCCTCAAACTCACAGAGATCCACCTGCCTCTGCCTCCCGAGTGCTGGGATTAAAGGTGTGCGCCACCACCGCCTGGCTAACATTTTGGTTTTTGTTGTTGCTTTGGTTTGGTTTTTGGTTTTTATTTTTAACTTAGATTTTGTTTGTTTTCTCCTTTATGTGTGTGTGTGTGTTTCACCTTCATGTGTTATTTATGTGTACCACATGTATGCCTGGTGGCTGTGGAGCTAATCGGCCATTGCGTGTCCTGGAATTAGAGTTACAGACAGTTGACAGCCACCATGTTGGTGCTGGGACTCTCACCCTGGTTGTCTTCAGGACAGTTGCTTTTCCATGCTGAACCCCTACTTTTCCAGCCCCCTAAAGGGTTTGACTTTAATTGAAGAGGGGCTGGTGGCCCCGTTTCTCTGTGGCCCCCTTCTTTTTCTTCCCCTCTGCCGGCTCACAGACAACTCAACCCCACAGTCTGCCAGCTTCCCTGTTGGCTTGTCATTTTTAAAAGAGACTAGAGCTCGGGGTGTGGCTCAGTGGTCTCTGGGTTCCATCTCCACAAATGCAAAAAGGAAAACCCACACTGTACACACACACACACACACACACACACACACACACACTGCTTTATTGGACACAGTGTGGTTTATTTCCATCATGAGAGGACTGGATGAGACATCTCAAAGGGAGCCTGCCACTTTGTAAACATAAGAAAATGACTGTTGAAAACTAACTGATTTAGCGCTCAGTCATTCTCTCCTATGACTGGAAGGAAGGAGGCTTCAGCATACCCGCTCTGTTCCTTGCTCCTTGCTGGAAGCACAGCCTAGAGGCTTGGTAAATATGTGTTGCATGAAAGTACAAAAGAATAGAGGAAGAAAGAGGGTAGATCCAAGCAGTGGTAAACTGAGGCCATTGCTCTTATTTTGGCTGCCTGGAATTAGCACCTCAAAACCGGGGTGACTACTTTTCCCAAGAAACCAACCCTGGAGACACCATGAGTAGTTATATTCCCCTGGATGTCTTTTCATTGGTCTCCCTTTTCTGCCATTCTTAAGAAAGCCAGCAAGCAGCACCCGGGAGTTTGCAAGCATGAGCACTCACAGTCGACAGACAGGATGTATGCATGTTACCATCATCAGTCCGTTTTCCTGAGTGCTTGTGGTTTTGACTTGTAGTAGAATGACTGGCATCGCCCTTTTGTCTTGTGGTTGCCGGAAGCTGTGCTCAGCCTTACCATTCTTCCCTAAGTTAAAAAGTTGTGTTCTGTGGGTACTCCTATGGTGCATGTTCTCCAGCTACTGTGCCATTGATGTAATCAGCAGGGAGCTGTCCCTGCTCATGCTGACCCCATCTTACCCTGGCTGCCCACTGCCTTTGTCAGGCTAATTTGCCAGCAGAAGACCCTGGCCAACAGGAGCCGGGAGCCCAATCCGAAGACCTGGCTCCAGGCAAGCCTCTGCATCTCTCCCACTGCAGCCCTGTGTCCTCACCTCAAACGGAAGTGGTGCTCTCCCTATGGGTGTCAGCATTGTGCTGTCTGTGAAGGCCTCAGACTGCACACTGGGGTGTCTGCTAACTGCATCAGGCTGTTGGTGATGCTTGTTCAACGCCCAGAGCTAACCAGTCTTTCACTTCTTTTAATCATCCTGCTTTGAGTACAGAGGAGAGGCCTGTTTGTGTAAGCATCCCTTTACTGGGGGTCGGGGTAACAGTGCTGGGCCATGGTTCTGGAGCAAAGCAAGCCTACTGTAGCTCTAGAACCTGGAGCTGCCTGGCTAATTTCCCTGTGCCACAGGCATGAATCGCCTAACAGTAGAGAGATGTTCTGAGGAATGTCTTGGTAGATGACTACCCTCATGTGAACATCACCGAGTAGACACACAGAGACTTGGATGGTGCCATCAGTGGCTTTGCGTAGCCTCTTGATGCATCCAAAGATATGGTAAGGGGCTGCCAGCATTACAGTTTAAGTTACAGTGATTAAAAACAATGATTAAACAAGGGCAGTTCAGTGAGTATTAACTGCTATCATAAGCTCTTCATCAGTCTTCATATTCTCTAATTTCTATAAGATGGTTAACAAAGCCATTCATGAGGAGGTAGCTAATAAATGATTGGGGGGTATTGATTTTAGTTTGGTTTTTTGAGACAGGATGTCTCTGTGTAGTACTGGATGTCCTGGAACTCTGTAGACCAGGCTGGCATCGAACTCAAAGATCCAACTGCCTCTGCCTCCCAAGTGCTAGAATTAAGACATGAGCCACCACTGCCCAGTGATAAATGATAGTCTTGTTTTTCTATTCTGGGGGGATGAATGGTTGGCTGGTGTTGGTGTCTGGAGTGGCGTCTATGCTTGCATGTGTGCTGTTGGGATTGAACCAGGCTGTACATGTGCTGAATGTTTCCTACTGAATGATACCCTTATTTCTAGGAATAGGAACTTTATAAGGGTTAAGGAGGCAGCTGGGGAGAACAAGGTTTATATTATTAGGGTCCAAAGATGATATCAAATGCATTTTATATTATTAAGAAGATTAAAGGGACCAGGGCAACATAGAGAAACCCTGTCTCAAAAATCAAACAAATAAATAAGACTACAGGGGCTGTCATGGTTCAGTGGGTAAAGGCACTTGCCTCTTAGCCTGATGACCTGAGTTCCATCCGTGGGATCTACAGGGTCAAAGGAAAGAACCAATTCATGAGAGTTGTCTTCTGATCTCTTCATATGTATGCCAACATGCATTCACACACACAATAACTACAGTTGAAAAAATTACAGGGGCTGAGAACATGACTCTGTGGGTAAAATGCTTGCTAAGCAAGCATGAAGGCCTGAGTTCAGATCCCTAGCAACCACATAAAAAAACTGGGTGTGGCAGCTGTGCCTATAACTCCGGTGCTAGAAAACAAATAAGTGGGTTCTGAGGGCTCGCTGGCCAGCTTGGAACAGTGAGTTCCTGATTCAGTGAGAGACCTTGTCTTAAAATTAAATTAATAAGGAGAGAGAGTGAGACACACTTACACACATGCATGTGCAAACTCATACCCCAATCTCACACACTTTAGTGTAGATTATATTTTGGAATTCAATTATAAGGAAAAAACAAGCAGGAGCTGGAGAAATGGCTCAGTGTAAGAGCACTGGCTGTTCTTCTAGAAGACCTGTGTTCAATTCCCAGCACCCACATGGTGGCTCATAACTCTTGGAACTCCAGTTCCAAGGGATTCCACTCCCTCTTCTGACTTCTGCAGGCTGCAGGCATACATGTGACACCCAGATATACATGCAGGCAAAACACCCAGGCACATAAAATAACTTTTTAATTATAAAAAATCCCCTATTTCCTTCCCTAAATAACAATTTAATTTGCTTACCTAATTTTAGAATCGTTTGTTTAGATTAATATCATAAACTTTCATGTTAAATTCATTTTTATCAAGTAATATAGGGGTTCCTTTTTAAAAATTCTACTGAGATATTTGAAACAATAGCTCCCTGCATCACACCTACATCTGCTCGCCAAAGGCAGTTGCTTTTGATGGCTCCATTTGTTTCCTTTGACCCCCTCAGATTTGTAATGTTCCTTTTTACTCACCTACTGGGAACAAGTGAAACACCACCTCCTCCTGATCTCTCCTCACCATTGCTTGGTATTGTTATAGCAAGGCAACTGTTGTCTCTGGTGAGGCAACAGGTGGGCTCTGATAAAACTTTTTTTAAAGATTTATTTATTTACTTATTATGAATACAGCATCCTACCTCCACGTCTATCTGCAGGCCAGAAGAAGACACCAGATTGAATTGCAGATGGTCATGAGCTACCATGTGGTTGCTGGGAATTGAACTCAGGACCTCTGGAAGAGCAGTCAGTGCTCTTAACCACTGATCCATCTCTCCAGCCCCTTGATAAAACTTTTTCTGGTAGTTTTTCCCCACTCCTGTTCATAGATGATCATAATCCAATTATCAGCAGGCAAAACTGAAACAGCTATTTCTGCCAATCTGTCAGTCATAGCCCGCTTGTCCACCAAGTGTTTCCCAGCCCCTCCCAGTTCCTCTTCTTGTCAGGATGGGCGCCATCTTGCCCTGGGTTTTAAGTAGCTAGTGTGGGTAGCAGGGAATTACCCCAAATGCCATTTCTGTAAGAGTTCCCAATTTCCAGGCCAGTTTCTGTCCCTGTGTGTCCAGATCACAGGAGTTGCACATGGGAAGAAAGGAGCTAATCTCAGGAAATAGTGGCATTTGCCATCGTGAGCAGAGACAGCCAGATGGGTCTTGTTGTAAACCTGCAAGGAACATGTGCCAGGCTGTGGTGTGAGCCCAGGGACAGTGAAGGACAATTAATCACCAAGAACTGGGTCAGGTACAAGAAGTCTGGACCCAAGAGCATGTGAACTGGTGTCCCAAACACATAGGGCACAGATGAAATAGGAGACACAGAATGGATCCTAACATGACATGACATCAGGACTGTCCCTTGGCCTGTTTTGTGAGTGAGCCCTGGGGCATGGAGTTACCCTGAGTCCTGCACTCTGCCTCCTCCAGGGAGGCACCCATCCTACACCTAGTACATCACTCCCGTACCCAATACCCAGCTCTTCCTTCCCCTTCACATCCTACTCTGGCCACAGGATGACTTGGCCAGTCTGAGCAATTCAAAGACCCAGAAGGGGCAGAGCCTGAGTTCCAGGGCTTCTCCTTGTTGCCTCAGCAGCACTGTGTGGAGCCGCAGATGGCAGCTCTAAAGGCTGTCCCCAGCACCTGTGTCAGACACTGCCAGGGGGACGTTCAGTGAGCTGCGTGTGGATGCCCAGTCTGAGAACCCTGCTTGGTGTTTGAAGTGTTTGTGAAGTGAAGGGGCACCTTCACCACCTCCTACTCCACACCCTGCCCTGGGGCATTCCCAACAATGCTGTGAACTTGGTGTTAGGCCACTCTGATTTTATGTTGAGTGGTGGCTTTAGTAAGGTGTGTGTGAGCATATGAGATCTCTGAGTTCAAGGCCAGCCTGGTCTACAAAGTGAGTTCTAGGACAGCCAGGGCTACACAAAGAAACACTGTTTTGAACAAACAAACAAAATGTAAATTTGGTCCTTCACCTCTTAGGAAAATTGGAAGCCTCGGATTTTTTTCTTTGCCAGAAAACCATCTCTGTTTTGCTTTGTTTATTTGGCTTTATTTTGTTTTTGTGGTTTAAATTCCAAGCTCCACATAGCAAGCCTTGGGCCATCCAAGCTACATAGTGAGACCCTGTCTCAGAAACCAAAACAATAAAAATGAGTAAAAAAGCCTCCAATTCTGTTTGCTGTCTGTCCACCACAACCCTCTCCTTGACTGAACCGAGAAGTACGTATGGGAGACTTCTGTTACCTGAGGGCAAAGGTGCTCCCAAAAGTGAGATGTGAGGAGGCAGGAGGCTGTGTGAACTGTTCTCCTGGGGTGTACCAGGAGGCTGTGTGGACTGTCCTGGGGTGTACCAGGAGGCTGTGTGGACTGTCCTGGGGTGTACCAGGAGGCTGTGTGGACTGTCCTGGGGTGTACCAGGAGGCTGTGTGGACTGTTCTCCTGGGGTGTACCAGGAGGCTGTGTGAACTGTTCTCCTGGGGTGTACCAGGAGGCTGTGTGAACTGTTCTCCTGGGGTGTACCAGGAGGCTGTGTGAACTGTCCTGGGGTGTACCAGGAGGCTGTGTGGACTGTTCTCCTGGGGTGTACCAGGAGGCTGTGTGGACTGTCCTGGGGTGTACCAGGAGGCTGTGTGGACTGTCCTGGGGTGTACCAGGAGGCTGTGTGGACTGTCCTGGGGTGTACCAGGAGGCTGTGTGGACTGTTCTCCTGGGGTGTACCAGGAGGCTGTGTGAACTGTTCTCCTGGGGTGTACCAGGAGGCTGTGTGGACTGTCCTGGGGTGTACCAGGAGGCTGTGTGAACTGTCCTGGGGTGTACCAGGAGGGCTGGGCCACTGTGAGCCTGCTCTGTCTCATCTGTAATCACCACTTGCTTTCTTCCCACAGGGGCTGAGCTGCAGAGTCAAGAATAGTAAGTTCTCTTTTTTTGTTCCACTTACTGCTGCTCTGCTGATGAAGTGAGGGCCTCACTTCTGCAGGGGCCTCCTGCGTGCTCTGGATGGGTGCTGTCACCATCCTGGGGCCATCTTGGATACAGGCACAGTGCTTCTTTAGGAAAACCTTGATTTGCTATGCAAAAGCCAGGCAGTACCCAGCTGCCACCTGGGTTTTAGATGTTGCCTGGGGTGGTACCCTAGTCCACCTGACTTTGTACCCAATCCATTCATTCAGATTGTCACAGGCATCCATGGTGATGGCTTGCTTTTTGAAATTTTTTTAGTTTTTTATCTGTTTGTTTATTGGTCTATGAGACGTATTTTCCTATGCTGGATATAGAACTCAATCTCTCAGACACAATAGACAAATAGCACTGAACCACAATCCCCAGCCCCTGGTTGTTTGTTTGTTTAAGTGATGGGGTGCATACTTCAAATGTCAGTGCTGACTAGGGGCTATTACAAATAAAAACAAAGAAACTCTCATTCCTGCCCCTCCCTCCTGTGCCCCCATTTCCAATGACTGCTTCTCTTCAGAACCCCGAATATTCTTTAGATGCCCAGCTTTGTGGGCAACCCGGACAGCATTAGGAAAGAGCAGGCTGGGCAGAGGGCTTGCCAAGGTCACAGCTGTAAGGTTGAGAGCACCTGCAGACAGAAAGCCACGTGGGAATTCGTAGCAGCTCTCAGGACCCTCTGAGGATCTCAGGGTCTTAGAGGCTGCAGTCTGTGATAGCTGTTCTCCTGGCCAGGTACCTGCCTGCATGACAGCTGGATCCACCATCAGAACCTGACCCCATCCTCCCCCAAGCACGTCCATGTCCAGCTGAACTTTTCCTCCACCCGGCAAGGAGACCTGGTCCCTGTGTTGCACGTCGAATGGACACTGCAGACGGACGGTGAGTGGCCACAGCAGCCAGGGCTTGGGTCTGCTCTCGGAAGACACCACTGCTAACTCTCATGTTTAGTGCTGGAAAGCTCCATCATTGACATGGCGAGAGCTTTTCCAGTGCTAGATGTGTGCCCACAGAGTATCTTCTACCCACAGTATCTTTGCGAAAGACCTTCTTTTGCATCAACTTTTTATTACATGGAAAGGAAAAGGCAAGTAGTTAATTATATAAATAATTCCAAATACGTACTAGAAAAAAATGGTGGTAGTTTGCCAACTGCTCTTTCTCTTAGCTTAGGAGCCAAGCACTTTTTAAAACATACTCCAAACCTCTTTAGGAGTGAATGACTACAGAATTTCTGAACAGAGCGAGCCCCAGATCTGTGAATGAGGGGACAGCAAGTGCTCTCTGTAGGTCCCTAGCTGGTGTGCAGATGTTCACTGCAGCAGTCTCTGGGAGGACGAGGAGGTGGCTGTTGTTGACCCTGTCCTGCTGCCTGGGCTCTGGCCACATAGTTGCACTTCCTAGTATAGAGTGTCCCTTGTCCTTGTCCCCCTAGAAGGTACTTTCTGCAAGTGGGGAAGTGGGGGGTTAGGTAAGAGAGCAGATGGGGAAGTGCTCCACCCTGGGGGTGGGACTGGTCTGCATCTGTGTGCCCCTCTCCTCCCTGGCCTGCAGCCAGCATCCTGTACCTCAAAGGAGCAGAGCTGTCCATCCTGCAGCTGAACACCAACGAACGGCTATGTGTTGAATTTGAGTTTCTGACCAAGCTGCAGCATCACTATAGGCGGGTAAGAAGGCAGCTTGACTGAACTGTGTTCCTAAGTGACACCAGTACAGTGTCCCCAAAGGTACATCTAATTGAAAGGATGAGTTCAAGATGGCTACCTGTTGTGAACCTGCCCTTGCTTATTATTATGCCCACTGGACCTAGCTGCCTTTCCTTCTTCCTTCCTTCCTTCCTTCCTTCCTTCCTTCCTTCCTTCCTTCCTTCCTTTCTTTAAATTCATAGTGGAACCCAGGCATTCTGAAAGTGTGTGTGTGTGTGTGTGTGTGTGTTCATACCCCCATCATTCTTCAGCATGTGAATGGCATGGTTGTCTACTGATGGATTTTTTTTCTCCAAGGAAGGTTTTGTTGTACATGTACACAATTTCTATTATTACTATTTTATTTAGGTTAGAAACACTCTTGTTTCACATGTCAATACCAGCTCCCTCTCCTCCTCCCCCGCCCTCCCCACCAGGTTCTCCAGTCTCCCACCCAATCTCCACTCCGATCCCCGAGGAGGGTGAGGCACTCCATGGTGGATCTCCAGTAACTGTCATTTCATCCAAGGCAGGGCCTAGGCCCTCCCCCAAGAGTCCTGGCTGAGAGAGCCTCCCATATTGTGGCATGGGCACTCAAAGTCTATTTGTATGCCAGGGATAAATACTACCCAAGGCCTCACAGATTGCCTAGGCCTCCTCACTGACACCCACATTCAGGGGGTCTGGGTCAGTCCCATGCTTCCACACAGCCATCAATCTGGAGTCCAAGAGCTCCACCTTGTTCAGGTCAACTGTTTCTGTGGGTTAAACCAGCCCAGTCTTAACTCCTTTGCCCATCAGTTCTCTCTTTCTGACACTGGATTCCAGGAGTTCAGTTCAGTGTTTGTCTGTGGGTATCTGCCTCTGCTTTCATCAGTTGCTGGATGAAGGTTCTGTTTCCTAGACTCTCTGGCAGTGGGATTGTAAGCTGGCACTCCCCTGATTCATGTCTAAAATCCATAAATGAGTGAGTACATACCATGTTTCTCTTTTTGTGACTGGGTTACCTCACTCAGGATGGTTTCTTCTAGTGTCATCCATTTGCCTGCAAATTTCAAGATTCCATTGTTTTTTTCCGCTGAATAGTATTCCATTGTGTAAATGTACCACATTTTCCCTATCCACTCTTCAGTTGAGCTGATGGATTTTTTTTTAAACAGGTAGAAAGGTCAAAGATATCATGTCTCTAATTTTGGATTCTGTGATTATCCTTTTGTTTGTTTTTAGCTGATTGTGGGGAGGTGTGAGGTTGGGACCTTGGATATAAGTGGGTGAGGTTGTTGTATGACCCATCCCCTCTTCTTCCTGTGTCCTTAGTGGCGGTTTTCCTTCAGCAACTTTGTGGTAGATCCTGGCCAGAAGTATGAGGTGACAGTTCACCACCTGCCCAAGCCCATCCCTGATGGAGACCCAAACCACAAGTCCAAGCTCATCTCTGTGCCTGGTAAGAGTGCCTGTCCAAGTGTCCGCTGGCCCTGGGCTCTGCGTGAAGAAAGCAGCAGGGCCTCAGGCAGCAGAATCCAAGCTGCTCCACAGTGGCTGCAGATCCAGGTCCTGGGATCCCCAGCTGAGGCCAACGCCTTTATGCCTTGAAGGCAGCATTTGCCACCCTTTCACAACATAAAATGGGCAGAGAGACCTCAGGGGTTTGTTGGCAGCCAGAGTCCCTCCCTCTCAGCAGAGAAGCACTTCTATCCCAGAAATGCCAGGTCCCGGAAGGTGCTGCCTGTGCACATCCCAGAAATGTCAGGTCCTGGAAGGTGCTGCCTGTGCACATCCCAGAAATGTCAGGTCCTGGAAGGTGCTGCCTGTGCACATCCCACCTGCATCTGGCCGGCACCCACCCTGCGCATCCTACTCTCCTGCCCCACCAATCCATGCTGTCTATCTCTGGGCACCACCAACATTTCTTCTGCGTCACTTTCTGTCTCTGCCTTCCCAGAACCTTAGGCATCACTGACATCATTTCTCATTGTACCTAGTAGTCAGGATAATTTGTCTTGTTTGTTCGTTTTCTGACTATGGGGAGAGAACTCAGGGCCTTACACACACTGAGCAAACACTTCACCACTTAGCCACAGCCCAGCCCAGGAAATGTTTGTTAAAGATGGCTACAACTCCTCACCCAGAACCACACACACACAGGTGCACTTACATCTGCTCCCGATTCCTTTACACACATCCCCTTACTCTCACATGACACTGAATGTTGTCATTCCACTTTTAGTGGTCTCTTCTATAGACTTAATCTGCAAAACACAGTAATTCCCACTGTATGCGCCGTACCCAGGGCCACATCACACACAGGAGCTCAATAAGTACTTACTAAATGATTGTTCTACCTTCCTCCCCTGCCCCTGGGGACTTCCCAAGTGCTCAGTGACAAGGTGCCTGTCTGGGCTTGATCCTCAGTTCTATGGGTAAAAAAAGAAGAAGAAAAGAATGAATGAATGAATGAATGAATGAATGCTGATTTTTGGCACCCAGCCAGGGCTCCTGAACAAGACCCTAGTAACAGTGTGTGGAGAGGTCAGAGAGGCCGAGGTGGAGGACAGGAGGAACAGAAAGGCAGAGGCTACTCTGGCTGGAAGGATGTGTATGGAAGAACATTGGAGTAAACCGGGATTTCTGGCCATGTGAAGCAAGCTTTGAGCTCGGGAGGAATGTGCTTGCGTCAGGGGAGCTCCCTAAGATAGGAGCTAGGTTACCCCAGTTTGATGGGGTCTTTGGCCAGGGCCAGGTGTCTGGGCCTGGAGCAGGCTGTGAAGTATGTCTTTGAACAGGATCTGCAGAGGCACAGAAACCTTGGCTCCCATGTCAAAACCCTGCAAGAACAGGCTGGGTGTAGTGGCACACGCCTTTAGTCCCAGCACATGGGAGGCAGAGGCAGGTGGATCTCTGTGATAAATCTGGTCTATAGTGAGGTCCTGGACAGCTAGGGCTATGTAAAGTGAGCCTGTCTCAAAAAGACAAAATGAAAACCCCAAATCTTCCAGAACAAACTCGCTAGAGGCAGAAACTTACTGATTTCTCTTTTATTGGGGCTGACAGACTGTGAGGACCCCAGGATGAAGGTGACCACACCATGTGTGAGCTCAGGTAACTGGCTGGCCTTGGAGATCTTGACCCGGGCGTGTTAACTTGTATGATACACATGCCCATGGGCACACTTACCCTCCTAATTCCCAGCCTACTCTGCACTCTTGGCAGGCAGCCTGTGGGATCCCAACATCACTGTGGAGACCTTAGACACCCAGCAGCTGCGAGTGAGCTTCACCCTGTGGAATGAATCCACCCCCTACCAGATCCTGCTGGATAGTTTTCCACACTCAGGAGACCAAAACTGCTTTGATGACATCCAGCAAATACCCGCGGTAAGTTGTCTTTCTTACCTCCTCAGACACAGACTAAAATATCTCAAATCCTCCAGCTTCCTTCCTGCTGGTCCTAGCTAACCGTGTTGCCAGGGGCCAACACTTCACTCAGGTGCCCCTGGCTGTTACCTTTCCCTCTCAGTAGGCAGAGGGGTCTGGTATCTCCCCCTACTCCTCCTCCTCTTCCTTTCTTCTTCTTCTTCTTGACTGGATTTCTCTGTGTAGCTTTGGAGCCTGTAAACAAGGCTGGCCTCGAACTCATAGAGATCCACCTGCCTTTGCAGTTACTCGACAATAGTTTATGACAAAGGTAAAATGACTGAGTAAGCTTTAGGCATTTTGTAAATCTAAAGCCAGAAGTTTAAGTTCTTCTTTTACCATGCCTTGCAGAGAAGTTCATATCAGATTGCAATTGAAAGTAGAAAAATTGTCTCTGCTGAGGCTGCTCCTTTGTCTTCTGTATTCCTGATAGTTAACTATTTGAGGATCTCCTTGTGACTGAATCCTCGGTTGGTAAAGCAGTGATGATATTGCTCCCTCCCTCCCTCCTTCCCTCCCTTATTTTCCACACCCTATCCACTCCGTGTTCTTCACATTCTTGCCTGGTCCTGTATTTATCCTACTTTCTCTCAAAAATGTATTTGGAAATGCATAACGAAATGAGGAGATTGAACGGAAGGAGAATAGGCAGGAAGAGGCCAGGCGGGAGCAGAACGCAGGCTATGTTGGCTGCACACCTGATTGGTGCCCCAGTCCCCAGCAGCCAGAGCAAAGGGGGAGACGCCCACTGCTAAATGTGCAGATGAGCTCGCCACAGGCTACTCACCCTGCAGACACACCAGGTTTCTGGACCAGAAATCAGAAAAGCCCTTCTCTTTGTGGCTCCTGTATGGGGCACTGGTCCATTTCCCAGCACAACCCCAGGGTCTTACCCAGCTTCTACCTCTCTCTCCAGCCCAAACAGGACGAGTTCCACCAGCGAGTCAACGTCACACTCTCTCTAAGCAAGTCTAGCTGGTGCTGCCACCACCATGTGCAGGTGAGCGTGCGCAGGTGGCCTTCCTTCCATTCAGACGGACGAGGCAGGCAGGAGGCCAGCAGCTCCTGGCTAGGAGCCTCTGGCTGCCTTTCTTCTCCTGGTCCTCCCATCTGATATGAGTGGGAAACCTGGTCTAACAGCCACATTGAAACCTAAGGAGCAGGAGTGGACAGATGGCTCAGAGATTAAGAGCACTGGCTGCTCTTCCAGAGGTCCTGAGTTCAATCCCCAGCAGCCACAGGGTAGCTCAGAACCATTTACAGTGGGATCTGATGCCCTCTTCGGCATGTACACTCATACCAGAAGAGTGTACATGCCGACAGAGCAGTCATGTATACATAAGATAAATAAGTCTTTAAAAAGAAAAGAAGGAGCATAGGCCTGTTAAAATAGTCTTCTGTGTTTCCCAGGCTGGCCTTGAAGAGACCAGCTCGGCTTCCTGAGAAACTAGGATATAAGTACATGCTACCATAGGCAGCTCAACAGCCATGTGGAGACCTGAGCTGACTAGCCAGGGTCTGTTACTGGCAGGTCACCCTTCTGGTATGAGGGTGTGGGTAGGCATCTTCTTTACCCTTCTGCCCCCCAGGTCCAGCCCTTCTTCAACAGTTGCCTGAATGACTGCTTGAGGCACGTTGTAACTGTGCCCTGCCCAGAAATCCCAAAGGCTCCAGGTAGGAGAGAAACCGTTGTCATTGGTATATATGGAGTAAGAGTGGATGAAGGTTGTCCATGGAGAGGAGTTTTGAGACAGATTTCTCTGTAGTTTCAGAGGCTGTCCTGGAACTCACTCTGTAGACCAGGCCAGTCTTGAACTCACAGAGATCTGCCTGCCTCTGCCTCCCGAGTGCTGGGATTAAAGGACAGTGCTTAACTTTTATCAACTCATTTTCCTTGGCTAAAAAATGAGATAGTTATTCTCACAAAGTTAGAACTATGTACCACAGAAGTGCTTTTAACATGCCAAGTTCATATACGAGGAAACTGAGCACAGATATTAATTTGTCTGTGTTTACACACCAAAGACATAGCCCCAGGTTCCTACTAGAGCTTGTAGGGACTGGCAGCCACATGTCCCTGGCTCTCAGCCTCTGCCTTATGCATATCAAATGGGGACAAATGTGGTGGAAGGAGCCCTGGCCCCCATGGGAAGAATACTGTCACTTAGAGCTTCAGCTTAAGGGGTTCCAGAGACAAGGTTACACCAAGTGTAGCTATGCCTGACTGCAGGATTAAGGCCGTCTGTGGTGTCTCCAATGAGTTAAGATATCTGTGGGGGGCCGGGCATTGGTGGCGCATGCCTTTAATCCCAGTACTCGGGAGGCAGAGGCAGGTGGATCTCTGTGAGTTCGAGACCAGCCTGGACTACCAAGCAAGTTCCAGGACAGCCTCCAAAGCCACAGAGAAACCCTGCCTCGAAAAACCAAAAAAAAAAAAAAGATATCTGTGGGCATCTGTGATAGATTTTGGCCATCAGTGGACACCTGTGATAGGTTAAGACACCAGTGTGCATCTGTGATGGGTTAAGGCCATCAGTGGGCATCTGTGATAGGTTAAGACACCAGTGTGCATCTGTGATAGGTTAAGGCCATCAGTGGGCATCTGTGATAGGTTAAGACACCGGTGTGCATCTGTGATAGGTTAAGGCCATCAGTGTGCATCTGTGATAGGTTAAGACACCAGTGTGCATCTGTGATAGGTTAAGGCCATCAGTGTGCATCTGTGATAGGTTAAGACACCAGTGGGCATCTGTGATAGGTTAAGGCCATCAGTGGGCATCTGTGATGGGCTTGGGTGACTGCTAATCATTAAGAGTAACCCTTTCCCTATTTCCTTTTGTTTTATTACAGTTTCCCTGGCAGGTAAGTTCTTCCTACAGTCAAGGTCATTCCCAAGGGACCACATGAGGTCTCTGCTGATGCCTGAGGCAATCCAGGAAGGCAAACTACACCCACAGCCAGCCAAAGGGTGAAATTTTTAGTGTAGCCTGGTATAGACAGAGCCTGGGCTGGGGTGTGTGGGACCCCTCCCTGGACTCACACTGTTCTGTTTGTCACAGACTCTATTCCCCTGTGGGTGTATGGCTTTATCACAGTCATCGCCATTCTGCTAGTGGGCTCTGTCATCCTGCTGATCGTCTGCATGACCTGGAGGCTCTCTGGTAAGGAGTGGGTGTGGCTTCCCATTCTCTCTGCGCATGTGCCCTCCCTTCTTGCCCCAGTCTCACAGTCTAGACCTCCCTCATGCTGTGTTTAAGGGGTGTCCTTCACTCCACCCTTCATTGCCAAATTAGACATAGCTGTGGCTTCTACTATGTGACCTGGTGATCTCAACTGCCAGGAACCTAGACCCTTGCTCGTTACCTGCTTTGTAATTACTTAACCTTAGATTTCATTTCCTTTTCTCTAAGATGGGATGCCTCCAAGAACCTAGAGTCTTTCCCCATATACCCTTCTACTGGCCGAGTTTTAATCAGGAGGATGTGGGTAGACAGGTTAAAGGCTAAGTTTCCCTGTCCTGTGACAAAATGTGTCTTCAGTCATCTGAGAAGCTATTTCTACACTTGCCAACATTCATATGGATTATGGTTCATCTTGAATTGTGGGGTCCACAAGATTCTGGGAAGGGTCACGTGACATCTCATGGTAATGCTGAACTATGTCCCAGCTGCTCTTACATTTCACTAGTCATCAGACTGTCTTTTGCCATTTCTGGGCAAAGGCCCAAAGAATAAGGATTGAAGTTAAGATTCTAAGTTTCTTCTTCAGGAGGCGAGATGTAATTTTGAAGTAGAGCACTTGCATAATATACACTGGGCCCTGGGTCCCCTCGCTGGACCAAAGAGAAATAATCCCCGGTCACATGTCTGTCCAAGGGGAACAAATTACCTAAGACTATGGTTCCCCTTCCTCACCTCAAGAACACCAGGAGGAAATGTTGCAAGGGCCATGGGGGCTGCTTCTGGCAGGCAGTGTTGTAAGATGTCTGCTTCCTGTGTGGACTGCCCTTCCCTGGAGTGGAGTCTGTCACAGAGGCCTGGGAAGCAGAACTGTAGCGAGGAGCCAAGGAGCACCCCAGCTCAGGTCTGTGGCTCCCGACCTGGTGAGTGCCACAGATAATCCAGACCTGGCTGACTGAGGGGCCCAGCACTTCCCACACAATCTCTAGAATGTACCACCACAGACCCATTCCTCAGAGAAAACAATGGAGTGTCAGAGACCTTGGTAGCTGTTGCTCCCTGTTCATACAGCTCCCTGGAGCAGCTGACTGGGGTTCACTCACAGCTGCATGACTCAGAAATGCAGAGGCCCAGAAATGTCTTTGGTCACCAGCTAGGGGCTGCTCCTTTGTCCCCTTGTTCCTTAGCAGCACTTCTCTCTGACACCTGTGAGCAGGTCCCTGCTTCTCTTTGGAATGAATAAGCCACTCAATAGTTTCTTTTCCCTGCAGGCTCTGGTCATGAGAAACACGGTGATGACTCCAAATGCAACGGTCAGTAGCTCGCTCTGAAACACTCTGCCTTTCTCTCTAAAGCCTGCCCGTGGGTTCTTGGGGTAGATGGATAAGGTGTGTCTCTGGTCAGACTTCCAGAAGGCCCCACCCCATCTCATGCAGAGAGAGCTTTTGAGGTACCCCGAACCCAGGGCCCAGAATTGCTTTTTCTAATTGCTTAGACAGAGAAGGCAAGGTGAGCATTTTGCGGAGAACACTCTTCCCTGAGCTGGCGTTCTCTTCCACAGAGAGACCCTTGTGCCTTTTAGTCTTTTTATTTATCTTGATTGAGGAGGTCTCACTCTGCAGCCTTGGATGGCCTGCAACTTAGGTTGTAGATCAGTCTGGCCCAGAACTCATAGAAATCCTCCTGCCTTTGTCTCCCAAGTGCTGGAGTAAAGCAGTGCACCACCACATCCAGCCTTCACCGTTTCTTCATTTAAGATGATTAAAGCAGCAGCCAGCAACCAGACACAATTTAGCAGGGAGCTCGGGGTGAAGGAGGGAGGGAGATTGGGTCTTCTTCATGCAGGGTCCCTCACTGATTTCTCACACATCACAAGGCGGTGTAGCAGCAGCTGGCCTACCTAGAAGGCTGTTCCCTGAAGATAGAAAACCAAACTCCGCCTTTGGTGCAGGTAGCTCATGGGCTGGCTCCAGAGCAGTGGTTCTCAACCTTCCCAATGCTGTGACCCTTTAATACAGTTCCTGGCCGGGTGGTGGTGGCACACGCAGCACTCGGGAGGCAGAGGCAGGCCGGTCTCTGTGAGTTCGAGGCCGGGCTGGACCTACAGCCTCCAAAAGAATACAGAGAAACCCTGTCTCGTAAAAAACAACAAAAAAAAAAAAGGAAAAAAACCAGTTAAACAGTTCCTTATGGTGATCCCCAACCATAACATTATTTCCATTACTACTTCATAACTGTAATTTGTTATCGTCCTGAGTCATGATAGAAGTATCTGATATACAACCCCTGTCATTTGGCCCGAAAGGCTTGAGACCTGCTGCTGTGGTGGGTCTGCCCAGGTTCTGCAGGTGAGGTAAGCGTTTGTTCTCTCCTCTTTCACAGGCATCTCCCCTGGAGCTGACCTGACTCCCCCGCCCCTGAAGCCCAGGAAAGTCTGGATTGTCTACTCGGCTGACCATCCCCTCTATGTGGAGGTGGTCTTAAAGTTCGCCCAGTTCCTGATCACTGCCTGCGGCACTGAGGTAGCCCTGGACCTCCTGGAAGAGCAGGTTATCTCGGAGGTGGGGGTCATGACCTGGGTCAGCCGACAGAAGCAGGAAATGGTGGAGAGCAATTCCAAAATCATCATCCTGTGCTCCCGAGGCACCCAGGCCAAGTGGAAAGCCATCTTGGGTTGGGCCGAGCCTGCTGTCCAGCTACGGTGTGACCACTGGAAGCCTGCTGGGGACCTTTTCACGGCAGCCATGAACGTGATCCTGCCAGACTTCAAGAGGCCAGCCTGCTTTGGCACCTACATTGTTTGCTACTTCAGTGGCATCAGTAGCGAGAGCGATGTCCCTGACCTCTTCAACATCACCTCCAGGTACCCACTCATGGACAAATTTGAGGAGGTTTACTTCCGGATCCAGGACCTGGAGATGTTTGAACCTGGCCGGATGCACCATGTCAAAGAGCTCACCGGGGAGAATTACCTGCAGAGCCCTGGTGGCTGGCAGCTCAAGGAGGCTGTGGTTAGGTTCCAGGAGTGGCAAACCAAGTACCCTGATTGGTTTGATCGGGAGAACCTCGGCTTAGCAGGTGACCAAAATCTCCCATCCTTGGATGAAGAAGTGTTCGAAGACCCACTGTTGCCACCAGGGGGAAGAATTGTCAAACAGCGGCCCCTGGTGCGGGAGCCTTCTGAGGACTGCCTGGTGGTAAATGTCTGTGTCAGTGAGGAAGAAAGTGGAGTGGCCAAACTTGATCCGCAGCTGCGGCCGCAGAGAGAACTAGTGGCTCAGACCCTCCAAACCACGGTGCTGCCAACAGAACAGGTGCCGGCTGCTCGTGTGCTGGGACCTGTTCCTCTTCCAGATGGCAGTGGAGCTGCTACCCAGCTGACCCTGGCAGAGGACAGCGAGGCCTGCCCACTGCTGGGGGCCCAGAGGAACAGCGTCCTCTGCCTCGCCGTGGATTCAGATGACTCCCCTCTATGTAGCACTCCAGCGATGTCTCCTGACCACTTCCACAGTGACGCAAGAGAGCAGCTGGAAAGCCTGATGCTCTCGGTGCTGCAGCAGAGTCTGAGCGGACAGGCCTCGGAGAGCTGGGCAAGTCCCGGGGTGGTCCTCAAGGACCCCTGCACACCCACTGAAGAGGAACAGCGGCAGTCAGTGCAGTCGGACCAGGGCTACATCTCCAGAAGCTCCCCTCAGCCCCCTGACTGGCTCACAGAGGAGGAACTAGAACTGGGCGAGGCCGCTGAGCCTCTGTCTCCTGAGGCCCTGCAGAACCTGAGGAGCCTCCAGCAGCAACTCTTCTTCTGGGAGCTTGAGAAGAACCCTGGCTGGGACAGCTTGGAGCCACAGAGACCAGCAACAGAAGAGCAGGCTCCCTCCTAGGGCTTCCCGATGCTGTGCCTAAGAGGCTGTGTATTGCGCTGGTGTGTATACGTGTGTGGGAAGCGCCTGCCTTTGAGATGTGGATCTCAAAGTCTGACAGAGGGTGTATGCCTGAAGTCCCAGAACTTGGAGCCTGAGACTTGATGATCTCCTGAACCCAGTTTGGGGCCAGTATGGGCAACACAGACCTCAAGAAAATAAATGTAGACATTTTGATTCTGATCCCTAAGCACCCCCCCCCTTACTTGCTATGAACATCTGGTCATTATCACACAGGATCCACAGCCTGCTTCCAGGAGCTCATAGCCAAGTGGGTCACTCATTCCTGGAGCATCTATTCTGTACCTACTCTACATCAGACATTTGGGATTAAAAAACGAGTTACATGACACAGCCTTGGCCACCAAGAAGCTTATAAACCAGCAAGGATGAAAAATTAGCCACCATGATAATCTGAGGCATGAGGCTGAATAGAGGGCTGCTGCCCTGGGCTGCAGGAAAAAAAAAAAAAAAGCAAGAGCCTGAGGGGTGAGGTCTGGGCTGAGGAACTGCTTTCCTGGGAGGGAGCAGCCTGTGCATCGAGTACTATGAAGGAGCCAGCACTCAGGGTCCAGAGATCTTTGTGGGGCTAGGGTGGGAGCAGCTGGGGACTCGTTCACAAACGGATCTGTTGCCCTGTGGGGGAGGAAACTGCATGCCAAATATACCATAAGTCTCTACAGTTTTGTAGAGTCAGGATAGAAATGGGGAATGCAGAACTTAAGAAGCAGGAAGAGACGTGTGAAACCCTGAGCTCAAGTGCTGGCAGCCAGTCTGTGGGAGGGCTGTGGTGTGTGAAATCCTGAGCTCACAGCACTCAGAGTGCTGGCAGCCAGTCTGGGAGGGCAGTGGCATGTGATTCTTCATGGACTGCAGTCACCTGATCCCAGCAGCCTGGGGCCCAAGACCCCTCAGCTCTACTCAGGGAATAGTAATGGAGCAATGTGTGATAGGAGGGCCTGGCAGCGGAGAGCACAGCAGGCCCTCTGAGATCAGAGGAGCATGTCACTCCGTGCCTAAGGTGCCAGGAGAGGTTGCTGAATGTAGCTCACGGGGCACCCTCTTGGGGCACAGAGCAGGCCTGGGTTCTAGCAGATACACAGGTGCGCATGTCCTGGGCCCCGTGCTATCCACTGCCAGTTCTTCAGGTTTCAGGGGAGAAAAGGATCATGAAATGCTGTGGGAAAAGCAGAAACAGTGTTCGCATGTGTACATATTTGTGTACAGTAATGAAGACTTAATAAAGTTGTTATGTTGGTAATAATTCATAGTTGTTAAATCATCTGTTCCCATAGATCAAGGAGCTCCTAGTTTTAGAGGTTTTTGTTTGTTTTGTTTTGTTTTTCGAGACAGGGCTTCTCTTTGAAATAACACTGGCATAGCCATCCTGGAACTCACTTTGTAGACCAGGCTGACCTCAAACTCACAGAGATCTGCCTGCTTCTGCCTCTGGAGTGCTGGGATCAAAGGCGGGTGCCACCACCGCCTGGCTACTTTTAGGGTTCTTTTTTTTTGTTTTGTTTTTTCGAGACAGGGTTTCTCTGTGGCTTTGGAGGCTGTCCTGGAACTCGCTCTAGACCAGGCTGGCCTCGAACTCACAGAGATCCGCCTGCCTCTGCCTCCCAAGTGCTGGGATTAAAGGCGTGCGCCACCAATGCCCGGCTACTTTTAGGGTTCTTACAGACAAATCTTGCCTAGCATTGGCAGGCTCTTGAGGTTCCGAGTCTCAGACTGGCCCATATCTAGCCCTGCAGCAGCTAAGGGCCAGGGGAGGGAAAGAAAACCCCTCTCCCCCTTAGCCTTTTCCAGCTCTGTCAAGCCTGTGACATCCCCCCAGCTTCAAATATGGACTAAGTGTCAAGAGATTCTCCCTGCAGTGAATCAACCCCTCAGCAGCACAGACCTGTCCTCCAACTTGAGCCAGTGCTCACAACCCTCAGCTTCCAGCTACTGCCCATCAGACCATGTCAGTAAACTGATCCTTCTGCACCCTCGTTTCCCCTGACGGCTTTATTGAGACGCTCACGCATCATGTGATTCAAGCTGAGCCTCTGTTGAGGGGCTCGGTATATTCAGAGTTCAGCCACCGTCAGTATAGTCACCTTTAGAACACGTCTTTATCTCAGAAAGAAACTTATCACTCCCACTCAACAGCACCAGGACAGCTTTTTCTCACACTCTAGACTTGTGTGTTCCAAATTTTCCATATAATAGAATCAGAATTGTCCAGGTTTCTTGACTATTTCATGTTCTTCACAGCCCATGGCTCCTTGGAAGTCTGCTCATCATGAATGTTAGAAGCTCTATAAACTGATATCTGTTGACAAATGCCAAGATCGTCAAGGACATTAAAGTCGTCCCTATATGCTTGTATTCTCCGGAGTGGAGCACATTTGAAAGGCTGAGACAGGAGGACTTCCAAGCCAGTATTGATGAGAGTGGGACCCTGTCTCAAAACAGGAAGAAAAAGAAATGAAAAAAGATGGCTCCACATAAAGGAGTTTGCCACCAAGCTTGCTATCCTGAATTCAGTCCCTGGGGCCCCCTTGGAAGGAGAGAGTCTGATCTCGACATGCATTTCACGACACACATGACACATGACACACACATCAGTAAATAGGGATAAGTGGAACCCTGTGTAGGGAGCTAAGTGTGGCTCCATGATCGAGCACTTCCCTAGCACACGTGTGTCCTCCGCAAAACCACAAAAACTTGGGGGTGGAGGTGGCTGAAGAGCAAGTACTGCTCTTGCAGAGGACCCAGGTTCAGTACCAAGCACCCACTGTAACTCCAGTCCCGGGGATCTATTGCCCCCTTTGGCCTCTTCAGGCACCAGGCATGTGCATGGTGCACACACATATATATGCAGGCAAAACACTCACACACGCAAGTCTTTAAGATTTGATTTGCAAGAAGAGTCCCCCCAGACCCCCAGGCCTCCCCGCACGCACTGACACAAGCCATCGCCCCCATGTTCTGCTTTCTTGGCTCTTTGGGCACCCAGAAAGTAGCAGGGGAGGCTTGGTGAGTTGAAAGCACCAGTAAGCATGTGATCAGAACTCTGGTACTTCAGTGCGTCCCAGGCAAGCTCCCGACAGTGGAGGTGTCTTTGCCCTCTTTGTATCATGAGCCCAATCAAGAAAGAAATGGGGAGAATAAGCAAGGAAGGAATAAGGAAGGGAAGTTAGATGGTGACCTGGGCATCACTCGCTACAGTGTTTCAGTACCCAGATCTAGTTTGTAAGGCCCTGTGCAGTCCCCTAGCTATGCTTCCGGCATCTGGGCATCTGCGAATGGAGGCTAAGACAGGTTTGCTTAGCTTTACTTAGCTTAGAAAATGAAACAGGTAAGGGCTGGGCCCGCAGCTCAGTGATAGATGGCTCGCTCAGCCTGAGGCCGTGGGTGTCATCCCCAGCACCAGGAGAAAGACAGGAAAACACGAAAATAAAATAGGGACTAAGGGCTGAGCGGTGGTGGCGCTGACCTTTAATCCCAGCACTTGGGAGGCAGAGGCAGGTGGATCTCTGTGAGTTCAAGGCCAGCCTGGTCTACAAAGGGATTTCCAGTACAGATAGAACTGTTACACAGAGAAACCCTGTCTTGAAAAATCAAAACAGCAACAACAACAAAAACAGGGACTAAAGAAGAGGATGGTATCCCTAGGAAGCAGTGGACAGTTGTGACTCCAGAGTGCCTAGACTCCCATTCCAAGTAAGCAGAGAAACAGGGTTTGGCCTACGCTGGCGCTTCCTGAGAAAATGTGCTCACAAGGGCTGCCAGACACCGTGGGCTCCAGCCAGACTGAGACAGCCACAGCCCAAGTGCTCTTTGGCGAATGAATGTGGGCCTGGCACTGTCGCTCAGGGCTTGAGTCTCACAAGTCAGGTGTGTTGGAACAGAAGGTGCCTTGCAAAGAGTGTCCGGCCCCACTGCTCACCGGCTAAGCAGCTTTAGGTACAACATCTTTCCTAGGCTTCAGGTTGCCATCTCTAAAATGGGCACAGCATAGCTCCTCCCTCATAGTGGTCTATAAGGGATGGGTGAAGGTCACATGAGAGGCACTGAGGCCTCCCCACCCAGGAAGTGCTGAAAACACGCTAACCACTGCCGGGCCTCTCACTACCAACAAGCCCAGCTCTCTCAGTCTGTGCCTCTGACCTGATTCTAGGGTTGAGCAGCTTGTGACTCCTGAGGCGTTGTTTAGCCTGCTTTCCTGCCATTTACTGCCCTCTCCCTCTAGTGTTTGCTTTCTGAGATTATCAAAGCCATCTCTGCCCACTAGTGGTTCATACTGATACGTGATTGTGGGAAAGCAGCCTTAGGGCAGCAGCTAGTCATGGAAGATTGCTGTGAGGACCGTATGTACTGCACCCTTCCTCAGGCCCCCACTCCAGCTCTGTCCATTTTGGGTAATGAAGGTGGGTGGTCATCCCGTGGAGCCAGCCTTTGTCTGTTAGAGGAACTTGACAGCTTCTGTGGTCGTTGATTAAAGGGGAGTAGAGAGAGGTCTTACACCCCCACCTTCACCCCTTCCCTGTCCACTCATCACCGAATACGTTTCTTAGAGAATCTCCCTTGGGTATGGACACCTAAGTAGGAGCTGGCACCCGGATTCTTCATCTCAGACTGGAGAAGAAGGTGACGTAACCTTGGCCTGAGAAGGGTGTGACCATACTTTGGCACAGTGCCCTGCTGGTTGACCTTATTCTCATCTTCTACAAGCCTTGCTCAGAAAGTGAAAATCAGTTCTGCTTTCGGCTACAGTTGATCTCCACCACAGGGAAAGTTGACCCCACTGAGCAGCTAACATCTGAAGGCTCCTGTGGAGTGAAGGTCTGAGAGGTGACACACCCAGGTTTCACTTGGCTTCCCTTCGGCTACTTATCTTCCAGGGCTTTGGGAAAAGGAGCTGAAGTCACCTTACAGGTGACCATGTTGAGGAAATGAGCTGGTCTGCACCAAGGCCTGGTGCCCCAGAGTGTGATTTTGTCGTCTTCCTTGGCACCAATACCGCAGCATCATTTGACCTCTGGTGGCCTTCCTGTCCCCACACTGAGCCCTCCTCCAGCTTCCCTGGTGTCTCTGAGGTGCTCCAGCAGACCAAAGTCAACAGGCGCTGCTGGCTCACCAGGAAGATATGTCTAAAGATACGTAACAGGCCTGGCCTGGCCAAACTTAGGAAGAAATGATAATGTGCTCTTATGTTTTCCTGTAAATATTTTCTGTATGCATCTTGACCTGTGAGAGTTATCACAGGCTCAAGAAAAGAACCATGTTGGCATAAGTCACCTCATTGAATTCTTTAAAAAAACATTATTACTTTTCTTATTTGTGTACTTATTCTGTGTGTAGTTCAGGGAAGAGCATGTGTAAGAGCCACGGTATGTATGCTTGTGTTGTCAGAGGACACCTTAGGGGACAGCTCTCTCTCCATCATGTGGGGCCAGGGACATGAACTCAAGTTGCCTGGCTTAGAGGCGAATGCCTTTACCCTCTGGGCCATTTTGCTAGCCCACATCATTTCACTCTTTTGTTGTTCATGTGTGGTGTGTGGTTTTGTTTTTTTTTCAAGACAGGGTCTCTCTGGGTAGCCCTGGCTATCCTGGAACTTGCTCAGTAGACCAGGCTGGCCTTGAATTCACAGAGATTCACCTGCTTCTGCCTCCTGAGTGTGGACATCAAAGGCATGCGTCACCACAATCCAGCCCTCGTTTCATTATTAACATATTCTTTCAAAGTGGCTACCATAGCTCCTATTTTTTGTTTGTTTTGTTGTGTGTGTGTGTGTGTGTGTGTGTGTAAGCTTATTTATTTATTTGATATGTATGTCTGTATAACACATGTGTGTGCCTGGTGCTCAAGGAGGCCAGAAGAGGGCATCAGGTTCCCTGGGACTAGAGCTGTCCCTTAAGAGAGTTGGGTATGAGTCCCCCTGTCCTGAGAATCGAACCTGGGTCTTCTGGAAGAACAACCAGTACTCTTAACTTTGAGCCGCCTCTCCAGGCTGTTTTGAGACAGCCTCTTGCTCTGTACTCCAGACTGGCCTTGAACACTCGTCCTTCTGCCTCACCTCAATACTAGGAACGCAAGCCTGTAGTGCCACATCCCTCTTCTAACTGCTATGTTAGAAATAGTTCCAGGAGGGAACGGAATTTCTCACAGCCACAATGAGGAAGAGGTCAGGCTCCTAGCTGTTCTGTGCTCTCATTTACCTCTGGAGTCCTGCTGGTAACAGCGCAGTGTGATCTGAATAATACTGGCTACCACACTAAGAAAAATTACTAGGACTTAATTTTTTTAAGATTCTATTTTTACTTTTAATTATGGGTGTGGGTATTTGTATATGCTTATGCACATGAGAGCAATGCCCAAGGAAGGCAGAAAAGGATGCACGATCACCTAGGACTGGAATTACGGATGCTGCGATCTGCCCAGTGTGAGTGCTGGGAAGCAAACTCTTGGAGAGCAGTCCACTCTGACCACTGAGCATTACAGTTTTCTTTAGGTGAAAACCCAACAGTCTACCTGAGATTCAATAGTCTCCTGTTTTCTTGTTTTTGTTTGTTTATTATCATTTATTTATTTATTTGGTTGGTTGGTTTTTCAAGACAGGGTTTCTCTGTGAAACAGTCCAGGCCATCCTGGAACTCACTCTGTAGACCAGGCTGGCCTCAAACTCACAGAGATCTGCCTGCCTCTGCCTCTTGATTGCTGGGATTAAAGGCATGCATCACCACTGCCCAGCTTGTTTGTTATTTTATTTATTTGTTTATTTATTTATTTATTTTAGTTTTTTGAGATAGGGTTTCTCTGTATTGTTTTGGAGGCTGTCCTGGAACTCACTCTGTAGACCAGGCTGGCCTCGAACTCACAGAGATCCGCCTGCCTCTGCCTCCCAAGTGCTGGGATTAAAGGCGTGCGCCACCAACACCCGGCTTGTTTGTTATTTTAAACACTGACTTTACCTAAACCAGAGAATTATGCTTCTAGCTGAGGAAAGAGTGACATAGTAGGAAAGAGTATTTAAAGTTGGTTTCTTTCTGGGCACATTCCTGTGGTCCCAGCCGCTTTGGAGACTGAAGCAGGAGGATTCCTTGAATTTAGGTGTTTGAAACCAACCTGAGCAGTGTAGTAAGAATCTGTCTCAAAGGAGCAGATTCATCTCTTCTGCCTTCCGCCAGCACAATGGGAAATTCCTCTGTGAAGAACAGAGAGCCCAGTTAGACATCCCTAGTCCCAGGCCACAGTGCCCCACCTCCCCTACTCACACACCAGGCACTTAGCTAAGGTGTGCCCATCACAGCAACACCAACCTGCAAAATGATGACAAATGTCGCAGTGACATTTAAGAATTCAGTGGGGACATCGGGACAGAAATGGTCTTAAACCACACAGGAAGCTTGTCACAAGTCTCAAGTTTTTATTTTCAGAACAGAGTCTGGTTTTATTTTTAAAAAGAGAAAAAAATGTGATAAATGCTAGCAAGGTGTCGCTTCTCTATTCCTTCTGGGCTCAAATTCCCAGCTCTGCGCCCCACACACCGGGGCCCGGTTCCTGGCATGTTGAACAGGAACTGCCTTGGTTGGACATAGCGCTGCACACCTGTTTCCTTTGGAGAGGCTGAAGCAAGAGGGCCACCTGAGCCCCAAGATTCTAGGACAGCCCTGGGAACAGAGTGAAACCCCACACACAGAGAAATGTTTAAGAGGCAGGGTGCATGTCTTTAGAGAGAGCTCAGTCTTCAGATTGATAAGCCTTGTGTCAGAGATACAGCTCAGAAGGTTGGCTAGCATTTGTCCAGCATGCTTGAGGCCCTGGGTTTGGTCCTCAGCATTGCAAAATAATTAACTCACTTTAAAAAACAGAGGCCATTTGGAACTAATAGGCCCTCCCCTCCATACTCGAATGCTAGAAGCAGGCAGGGCTAAATTCTGAGCCCAAGCTTCTTCTTCAAGATGCATTCTTCTGGCACAAGCCTCAGGGCAGTGTGCTATCCTGGTCATGACACCCTGGGGACTTCTCAAGTTTGATCCCTATCTACAGATACCATAGGCAGCAAGGAAGGGGGGCGGTGGGCTTAAAGGTCATGTGCAAATGGGACAGGAGAATGATCAGAAAAGACACAAAATGAATACTCCAGAAGGAAGGGGCCAGCCCCTGAGCACAAAGCCCTCACAGAAGACACGCTGGAGAGGTGCTGGGCCTCACTAGGCCCTCGTCAGTCCTGGCCTCTGTCACAACTGGCCATGTGATCATGTGCCTTGATGTACTAGGGAAATGGCAACTTCCATCCTAAATCCAGTGGCAGCCTCTCAGCAGTAGACAGCAGTCACACAGTGGAGGCTGGATTGGGGCCAGCCAGAGCCGGCCATGGCTCAGACAGAATTTCTTTTCCCAGTCATTGAAATTAGGTAGCGGGAAACCCAGCGAGGCTGGAGAAGAGATACAGAACAGCGGGCAGCTCCAGCCCCATCCATGGGTTCAGGACCATGAGGCAAATCAGAAGAGGAGTCGTCCAGGGCGAGGGGAAAGGCAGGTGTATCGTGCAAAGCAGCCAGGCAGCACTGGCTGAGAGCGAGAGTCTGAGGGAGAAGGACACATTGGCTGTAAACATCCTCCACACGGCCCTCTCTAAGAGCTGAGCAGGCCCCCAGCGCTCTAGCCAAGTTCAGCCGCTCAGGTCTCCATCCACAAAACGACATCCTCAGCCCACAGCCCCAGGTGGCTGAGAAAGAGGCCCTGTGCAGCCTTCGATTCTCAGAAGGTCCTCGTAGAGCCAAAGGGCATGAGGGACTTGGGCCTGGCTGCTGAGTTAGTAGTCAGTGACTTGGCACTTTGGGCCTGCCCCTGTGTTGTGGGCTTTAGAGGACATCAGCATCAACCATCCCTGCAAAGCCTTGTTGACAGCAAACCTCCCTTCAGCTCTCCCAAGGCGGAAGCAGAGCCATCCTCAAGTACACCCTGGATAGCTCGTCTTATGTCTGACTCTAATGGCAGCATTATGTCTAGAGCTTTCAAGCCCCAAACTCAAAGAATACCACCCTAGAAAGGTAACTGAAGCTGGGCCTGGTGGCACACACCTTTAATCCCAGCACTCAGGAGGCAGAGGCAGGTGGATCTCTGTGAGTTCGAGGTCAGCCTGGTCTACAAATAAAGTTCCAGGACAGCCAGGGCTTCACAGAGAAACCCTGTCTCAAAACACCAAAAATAAATAAATAAATAATGAATAAATAAATGGAAGAAAGAAAGGTAACTAACGCCTAGAAAGTAAGAGTGACATGACATTCAAATCTAGAAAGTAAAAGTGACATGGCATTCAAATCTAGAAAGTAAGAGTGACATGGCATTCAAATCTAGCAAGTAAGAGGCAGAACTAGAGATCATGTCTTCTGGTACCTTGTCTAGGCTCATTACATCACAGAAAACATCCAAAACAAGAGAAGGAAAGGGAACCAAAATTCTAAAGCCCCCCAATCCCATTGTGGGGGTGAGCATGTGCTGGCCTTGCTCCCTAGGTTTCAGACCCTTGACCCCCCCCAGAATAGTATTGTGCCTTAGAGACTCCAAGAGTGACATCTTGTCAAGACTAGAGTAGCCACCGCAGAAAGCCTCCCCGGGAGGACCCTGTGGGGGAAGACTGGGCAGGAGGGTCCCACAGAGTGCCTTCTCCTCCCTGACGAGACCAGAGCAGAGGAAGAAGCTCTGTAATGGAGCAGGTAGTGCTCCCGAGGGTCCCTAAGGGGCCTGACCTCACATCCCTTTGAACCCACTAAAGCAGTCACTCTGAAACCGGTTCCTACCCAGCCAGTGCCAACACAAGAGGACAGGTGTCCTGTGCAGGAGGAACCGAAACAGAGCAAGCCAATGGCTGATACTCCACAGACCCTGTAATATCTGGTACCAAACCCCAAAGGGATCCAGTGGCCATGTTGAATGCAACTTCTGAGTGGTTTAATCTTTTTTTTCCGAGCAGCATCAATGTGTGATGCAATGAAATTTAAAAGCACAGAGGTAGAAATACACACTCACCCAAGGAAGGGTGCTGTTTGGTCCTTACAGCAGAGACCGTCTTCTCCCCAAGCTAAGAACAGAGGAGCAGGAGTGAGGACGACGCCGGGTGAGCAGGAAGGATGGTGGGGTCACGTGTGGTGGCAGCAAGGCCTCCCTAGATCTGCTTCCCACTGCCAGGGGCATGAGACCGACACCCAGAAACACACCACACACACACACACACACACACGCACACACACACACATGCACACACGCACACACGCACACGTCAACCTAAGCTTACCATCTCTGCCTAAAACACCTTTTCCTCCACTCTCCCCCATAGCATGAAGGCAAGAAAAGCAGGCGGTACATGTATCCAGCCCCTTGTATGTCAGGACAGGCAAGACTATGGGGAAGGACCACGATGGACACGGACCCTCCTCCCTCACGATATATTGCTGGTCTCCCTCCAAGTTAGTCTCTACCCATTGGGTGCAGAAGATTTCACCTTTAGCCTTAACAACAGTAAAAACACAGTCAAGGGGGCCAAAAACTCTCAAACCGAGATCAGAGCCCCTGCCCGTCACCTCTTTCAATTCTGAGAGGCCACAGCTAGAGTGTTGACATAGCCATGAGGACCCCCTTCATTTTCCAAGTGGCCCCGCTGGGAGCCTCCCTGAGGTGGCGGTGGAGGAGGTGGTGGTGGGGCGGAGGGAGGAGCACCATAGCTGCTTCTGGCCCGACTTGGGGAAACCCAACTCCCCCGGTCCCAGCAGCCCTCCAAGGCCTCCAGGCCACGGCAGCCAAGGAAAAAGAGGTTTTTGATCATGAAGATGGACAGCGGCTGTTGGTAGCTCACGACCAGGAGGCCGCGCAACGCCAACAAGGGCACGTCCACCAGGCAGCCGCCCAGCAAGCGCAAAAGGCGGCTGCAGCTTCCAGGCCCGGAGGCCTGGCCCCAGGACGGAGCTGCTGCGGTGGTGTTCAGCTCGTACAGCCAGAGCACTGGGGAGGCAAGCGTGAGGAAGTAGACGGCGATGAGCAGGTAGCGCAGGTGCGCGGGAAGCGGCACGCGGCCGTCCAGCATCAGCTCCACTAGCGTGAAGCTGTCCAGCAGGTCCAGACACGTGCCCAGGAAACAGCCTGCAGCGCGATGCTGCTGTGGCTGCAGGAGCAGGGGACCCGCCGAGCCCGGAGGCGAACCCGCCTCGCTGATGGCACGCACCAGGCTGTAGAGCAGCGGCACGGACAGCGCCATGGTGAGGCGGAAGCCCGTGGTGCCAAAGGGCGCTCGCAGCTCGATGAGGTCCAGGATGGACGTGCCCAGGATGAGCACAACCTTGGGAGTGAAGGCGATGGAGTAGATGAGCCAGGCCAGGTATGCAAAAGCGAACTCGCCCGCAGCCCCGGCTGTCCCCGGCCCGGCCCCGGAGTTGCCGGAGCCTCCTCGGCCCCCGCGAGCCTTGGCCCCGGCCCCCGCAGACGCCGCAGCCGGTAGGTGCAGAGGCGGCGCAGAGTGGTGGAGCTGATGGTGGTTGTGCGTGCTGCTCGCTGGACCGCCCCGACGGCCCCGGCTGTTCTTGGCGAAGAAGATGGCCCAGCCCACCACCACCACCAGGTCGGTGGCGATCCAAGAGCACCAGTACAGGTCGGTGACGGCGATGAGGTACAGGTCCAACAGACCGCCCTGAGCCAGCAGCAGCACCACAGACAGCGCCTGGTAGCCCCAGTGGCATCCGGGACTTGGCGAGCAGCCGTGGCGCCGACCCCTGCGGCCGGGCCGGGCTGGGCGGCCGCAGCAGCAACAGCAGCAGGAGCAGCAGGAGGTGCCGCCACCGGTCCCGGTGCCGCCTGCGCCCGCTACCGAGCGGCTCCCGGGACCCCCGACGGCCCCAGTCGCGGCGCCCGCGCCGAAGTCCGCGGCGGTCATGCTGCAGGAGGAGGTGGGCGTGGAAGTGGAGGAGGCGGTGGCCGGCGCGGCGGCGGTGGGGGGGGCGCCCCCCTGAGCCGGGGGCCCCGGGAGCGCGGCGGCGGCGGCGGGCACCAGTGGCTTGCTGATGCTGATGCTCTCGTCGTCGTCCTCTCGCTCGGCGCCTGTGCTGCTGCTCGGGGAGCCGCCGCCCCCGCCGCGTCTGCCGCCGCCCCCCCCGCGGCTGGTGCTGGTGCTGCTGTCGCCCGAGCCTCTCCGGCCGCGGGAGGAGCCCCCCCGGAGGAAAAGGGGCTGCAGCCGGGCGGCGGGGGGCGGCGGGAAGGAGGCGGGCGCGGACGAGAGCGCGCGAGGGTGGCCCAGCGCCGGGTGCATTGTCCTCGGAGGGGCTCCCGGGGCTGCTGCGCCGTTCTCTCCCCGCCAACCTCGGGCTGACGAGGCGGCCGAGGGGAACCGAGGCCAGTCGCTGCCGCCTCCTCTCCAGCTGCTGCAACTCGCACCCGGCTCGGGCGACAGCGAGATCCGGACTGGAGCGGCCGGACTGGGCGAGTGGAGCCGCGGGTGGCTTGGGGTGGGGTGGGGGGTACGAGAGGGGAGCGGGGGAGCCGAGCGGACCGCCGGGACTGGAGAGCGGGGGGGGCGGAGGCGGGGAGCGAGCCCAGCAGGCAGAAGGAGCTGGCAGCGGGGAAACCAGGACTGGATTCAGGGGGGAGAGGAGGCGAGAACAGAGGAGGAGAAAGCCTGGCTGGCTGGATCAGCAGGAAGGAAAGGAGAGAGAGCTGAGACGCCGGAGTAGAGCTGAGAGCGCAGCGGGACTAGCAGGACGTAAGTTTCTTGAAGTCGCTAGCTCCTTGACTTGAACTGCTAGGTGGCCTTGGTCTCAGGGTCGACCACACCTTCTTGCCAAGAACCAAGCTCATTTCTGCCCCTAATCTGCACAGTGCGTGTAGGAGGAAGCGCGGCGGGTCAGCTTTCCCCTCTTGTGCGCTGCCGGCCACCCTACATCTCCCCCCCCCCTCTTTAAGGCCCTGATAACTCTATAGAAGCTATTAAAAAGTAAAAATAAAAAAGAACCAGAAGGGGACCGGGATGATGTGTATCAATTGGCAGAGTAATCTTGTCTTGCACGCATTAAGTTCTGGGTTCCATCCCCAGCACCAAAATAGATAGATGATAGATAGATAAATAGATAGATAGATGATAGATAGATATAGATAGATGATAGATAAATAGACAGACAGACAGACAGATACCCAAACTCAATTATTCAGAAAGCAATCCCAAACAATTACTATGTATTCACACGTCTAACACCGTGTCCTCCATCCCCGATCTCAGCGTGATGGGAAAGCTCCCTGACATAATTGCTGAGAACAGTGCCTAGGACAGGGCACTGCACTCACCATTGCCCAGCCCTGGAGGCGGGGGAGGCCAGAGCCGAGGTGTGCAATGGCTCTGGAGACTGCCAGGGGTGGGGGTGGTTGCTTACTTCGCCGGGTCATCTTTGGTATATTCAAAGATTTTTTTACCCAGCGTGCATGTCTTGCTGGGTTCCTCTCCAACACCCCTTAAAACTAGACATGGTAGCCCACATCTGTGATTCCAGGTCTGAGGAGGCAAAGCAGAGGGTCGGGAGTTCAAGGTCATCTTCAACTACGGAATAAGTTTGAGGCCTTCTTGGGAAAAAAAAAAAAGCTTAAGCAAAGAAGGGAAAGGATCCTTAGAGGTATGGAAGCTCCACAGGCCAGTCTCTAAGTCCAGATACTCAGGAAGCTGAAACAAAAACATCCCAAGTTCAAGGTCAGCCTGGACAGTTCCATGGGCTGAGTGTTGCTTATAGGGGTAGGAGAGAAGAAACTACGGTATCATTTGGGATTTCTGTGTAATTCCACTCCCAGCCCATAGGAGCAAGTTAGGAGCTTGCCCAGCTTACTTCCCAGTCCCACAAACTGTATGTCCCCTGCCCTGATTTCACTGTCTCAGAGCTGCTGCGGGGAGCCACGATATTTCTGACCACAGCCTTTTCCTTAAATATGCCTCTTAAGCAGAAGAATCTGAAGCTATAGAGATGGCTTAGTGGAGCATCTACTGTTTTTGCAAAGGACCCAGATTCAGTTCCCAGCACACAGGGTGGCTCACAACCATCTGTAACTCCAGTTCTAGGGAATCTGGCGCCCTCTTCTGACCTCTGCGGGTACCAGGCATGCAAGTGGTACAGAGATGTACATGCAAGCAAAAACACTCATGTATGGGAAGTAAAACAAATAAATCAAAAGGAAAAATTTCTACTTTTTTTTCCCAAGACAGTATTTCTCTGTGTAGCCCTGGCTGTCCTGGAACTCACTCTGTAGACCAGACTGGCCTTGAATTTACAGAGATCCTCCTGCCTCTGCCTCCGAGTGCTGGGATTAGCAGCATGTGCCACCAAATCCTGTGAAAAGAAAATCTTCAAAGAAGAACCTACCTCAGCTGAAGCTGCTTTCTCTAGCTTCTGGAAGGATGGCTTGGGCAAATCCATGGCACACAGAGAATTCAGAACGTATGACTTGTACCATCTTGCAAGATCCTATGCGCTAATTCCCAGAAGGCAGAACAGGTATAAGTGTGGGACCCATGGTCCCAGCTCCACCACACAGCCTGGGGAAGCTGAGGCCAGTTAGCTCAGCTCTCTGAGCTACATCACGGGGATCTGAACAAAGGGACCAGCGCTTACTTTAAGGGAATTTTGTGTTAAGAGATGATGTGTGTTAGCAGCACAGCCTAGTGCTGTCTCCGACTGTAGATCCGGTTAAAAAAGCTGGTGTTTAACTACTCAGTCTACACCTCAGCCTCCCAGGAAGCACTTTTTCTTTTCTTTTCTTTTTCTCTTTTAGTTTTCAAAATGGGGTTTCTCTGTGTAGCTTTGGAGTCTGTCTTGGCACTTGCTCTGTAGACCAGGCTGAGCCTGGAACCCACAGAGATCCGCCTGCCTCTGCCTCCCAAGTGCTGGGACTAAAGTGATGCCCCCCCGCCCCCTGCTTCTCAGGGAGCACTTACTCATAGCATGATGGCAGTCATATGATGGCGGTCATCTGAGCCAGGCCCCTTTTCAAGCCTGCAGTCAGAAGCATGCTCCCCTAAAGCTTCACCCTTTAGCAAGTACCAGGGAGAAACTGCTATTGTTAAGAGCACTGATTCTGCTGGGCGTTGGTGGCACATTCCTTTAATTCCAGCACTCGGGAGACAGAGGCAGGAGGATCTCTGTGAGTTCGAGGCCAGCCAGGTCTACAGAGCGAGTTCCAGGACAGCCTCCAAAACAATACAGACAAATCCTGTCTCAAAAAAAAAAAAAAAAAGAGCACTGATTCTCGCCTGGCAGTGGTGGTGGTCAGCTTTAAACCCTGCACTCAAGAGGCAGAGGCAGGGGGATCTCTGTGAGTTTGATGCCAGCCTGGTCTACTAAGCAAGTTCCAGGACAGGTAGGGTTGTTACACAGAGAAACCCTGTGTCAAAAAACAAAAAGTCTCAAAAAAAAAAACAAAAACCAAACCAACCAAAAAAACCCAAAAAGCACTGGTTCATAAATCTGGCTTTCATATGCCATGCCAGCTGGTGCCAAGGCCACTCACTTGGGCCAGGGTAGAAATAACAGCTTCCAAGATGCAGCCTGCACGTGTGCACACTCTGCCAGGCCAGCAGATGTCTGGGTTGAGCCAGGTAGAAAGGGCATTGGGGAATTGCCAGGTTCTAATGGAAGTGATTATAGGCAGTCTTAGTCTTCCCTAGGGAAAGTGAACGCGGAAGCTGGCCCGAGATTCCTTCTTAAGCCAGTGAAGTGGATGAAGAGGAAACAGGAGCTGAGAAAATCTGAGAGCAACAAGAAAGCACTGGGACTGCTGAGGACCCTGAAGAGCCAGTCTCCCTGTCACCGGTGCCCCCGCCCCAGACCACCCACCAGGATGAACCCTTTGTCCTCCAGGACCAGATTATTTTATTTTCATTATCTTTTGAAGTGTGCTACCATCCAATGGGATGAACTTTCTCTTTATTATTATTAACTTATTTTATGTATATGGGTGTTTTGTCTGCACGTATATCTGTGTACCACCCGTGTGCCTGGTGCCTGCCGAGGCCAGAAGAGAGTGTTGGATACCACAGGTGATTATGAGCCACCACTTGGATGCTGGGAACCAAATCTGGGTCCTCAGAAAAACAGCCAGTGCTCTTAACTAATGAGCCACTTCTCCAGCTCCAATATAGAGTTGATTTTCTGCTAGAGGTTCTTCATCTGACTTTCCCATGGACCCCAGACCCTGAATAACAAAAACGCCAATAATCAGGGTAAGTCAGCGTAACAACGGAATGTCAGTGGCCAGAGTACTGGAGGCAAGATCTCTCCTCTCTTTAGGTTGGATAATATCCAGCCTTTTCTACACACACACGGGAGTGGGGGAAGTTAACTATAAACATCTCAGAAGGATCTAGAAAAGGAAAGAAATAGTCATAGAGCCCCTTATAGGGGCGGTCTATGCTAGACACTTTGCACACAACACCTGGAAATGGAGAGCTCAAACCCAACCTATCCAAGCCATACTACTAGTTGAAGACATGCAGATCAACTGCACTTCTGCCTGGCTGTCACTCTCCTCACAAACCCAGGCGTCAGCAGCTCACAGGCCTGGGAGGAAGGGGTCAGTCAAAGCCTTTCTCTAAGCATTCTCCACAAGCTAGACACTGGACAAAGTGCCTCTGGCAACCTGAAACCCGTGCTTCTGAACTACAAAGTCAACGGCTCGTGGCCTTCCTGAGGAACGAGAGGCAAAGCAGCAGGAAAAAGTGGCCTTGTCCAGCTCAGCAGTAGAGGGAGGGTCAGCGGGGCGGGGCACCCTTTACTTGCACTGACCATGGGCCCTGTTCCCAGCTGGTTCTTTCTCTGCTGGCATCACTGCCTCTCATCTTTGCAGCAAGAATAAAGGTCGGGTTCAAAGCATGTGAGGAGCCCACAGAGGTCCCCTGTGTGGAAAGACAAGTGGAGTTCACTGGTTCTCAGTTACAATTAGCATACACTGTGCTCAGAAAGAGGGAACCTAGCAGGGGAGAGAGCAAAGCAGGAAGCCAGCCCGTGAGGACTCAGTTCATGAGGACAGAGAACAGACTGCATCTCCTCCAAAGCAGAGCTCTTACAGAGTCTGGGTGTGCCCTGAGCTGCCCAGGGGAGGCCTCACAGCGATGGCACCACCCACAGGGACAGCGTCCCCATGCATCAGCCCCGGCTGAGGTCTCACAGACTTTCTCTGAAAAGCGGAAGCAAGTTCCTCTTAGGAGAAAGCAGGCAAGCTACCAAGCACCGGGAGGTGTGGATGGTAGACTAAGTTCTGCCTCTGCCTCCCGAGTGCTGGGATTAAAGGTTTGCACCATCACTGCTGGCACAATATAACAACACTTTAATGTATAGTTAATCTAATGAGAAGGCAAGGGACAATTTTGCATTTGTTTTGAGATGGGGTCTCACCTTGTACCCCTGGCTATCCTAGAACTCATTATGTAGATCAGGTCAGTCTTTAGCTCACAGAGATCTGCCTGCTTCTGTGTCCCAGGTTCTGGGATTAAAAGTGTGAGCCAGCTC